GAGTGGATTTCCTTGGGCTTCAGATAGGGTGTTGTAGGTTTAACACTGCGTTTAGCTGGAATGAGCAAAATGCTCCTGTTTGGCCTTTCTGATCATCTTGCTGGCACAGACAACTGGTGATCATGAGATGCTTTTTCTCCTTTTGCAACCTTCTGATCTGTGGAGTTTTGCTGTTCAAAAACTGTAATATGAGAGGGCTGTGAGAGAATGGGTCAGTCACTTCATTCTCTCTTCAGTTCTATCTAGGGTGAATGGATCTGTATGACAAAGGCTATCTAATGTCAGAACTTCTGAATTATTCAGGGATTTTCAAAGGCTAAATGGATATTCCTTTACCGGCTGAATTATTAATCTCGTTCATTTATGTCTTTAAAGAATGATGAAATTAAAAGTGGAGTATGAAAGGAGTGACTTTTTTCATATTTTTCCAACTGTAGGTTTGATTCTGCTTCCTGATAGCTCTTTTTGAGTGTATATTAATTCTTCATCCTCAGAATTTCCTGTAGTTTGAAATTTTTTTGCTGTCATGAAAACAGTTGTGATTTGAAAAACAGAACAGCATTGAAACTGGTAATACATAAAGCATTTGAACTTATTAATATGACTCAGAAACAGGATAGAAATAAAAGGTGTCATTTCCTATGTGTAAATGGAAAATTTATGAAATCAAGGGCTGGAAATCTCTTGTGATTGCATTGACAGACCATGAAAATAGCAGGATCTACTTGTAGACTGACTTGAAGGACATAAAGATCCAGTATCAGTCCCAGTAGACCCTCTATGTGAAGTTAGTTTGTACAAGGAACTGCTGTAGATGTAACAAAATAGCTAAATGCTCCTTCAGAAACTGTGTCTTTGGGAACCTATCGTTATCTTGAAAGGGCCAGCCAGGGCAGAAAAAGGTATATTCCCTTGCTTTTTTAGTAAACCACTCCTAGAAATAAGAAACCTGTATAGAGTTTGCATGGTAGCTTCTGTGAGAAGTTGCCAGAAACTTTCCCTATGTCTGATAGAGCCAATGCCAGCTGGCTACAAGAGACCTGCCGCTGGTCAAGGTCAAGCCCATCAGCAGTGGTGGTAGTGCCTTCAGGATAACAGATTTAAGAAGGAGAAAAAAATCCTGTTCTACAATCTGCATCTGGGAGAGAGGAGAGAGTATGTGAGAGAAATAGCTCTGTAGACACCCAGGTCAGTGAAGAAGAAGGGGAGGTCATTCTTCAGGTGCGGGAGCAGAGGATCCCCTGCAGCCCCTGGTGCAGACCATGGTGAGGCAGCTGTGCCCCTGAAGGCCAAGATGGTCCACAGTGGAGCAGAGATCCACCTGCAGCCTGTGGAGGACCCCACACCACATCAGGTGGATACCTGAAGGAGGATGTGACCCCATGGGAAGCCCACACTGGAGCAGGCTCCTGGCAGGACCTGTGGACACATGGAGACAGAAGCCCATGTGGGAGCAAGTTTGCCGGTAGGATTTGTGACCCCATGGGGGACCCACACTGGAAAAGCCTGTTCCTGAAGGACTGCACCTCATGGAAGGAACCCATGCTGGAACAGTTCATGAAGAACTGTAGCTCACTGGAAGAACTTATGTTGGAGAAAATTGTGGAGGACTGTCTCCTGTGAGAAGAACCCCACACTGGCACAGTGAAAGAGCATGAGCAATCACCCCTCCATAGAGGAAAGAACAGCAGAGAGAGCATGTGGTGAACTGACCACAACCTGTCCCCCTGCACCACTGTGGGGTAGGAGGTAGAAAAAGTCAGGAGTGAAAATGAGCCCAGGAAGAAGGGAGTAGTGGCAAGAATATTAAGATGTAGTTTTATTTCTCATCACCCTACTCTAATTTGATTAGGAATAAATTAAACTAAGTTCCCTAAGATGAGTCTGTTTTGCCCATAATGGTAACTGGTGAGTGATCTCTCCTTGCCCTTATCTCAACCCACGAGCCTTTCATTGTGTTTTCTCTACCCTGTCCAGTTGAGGAGGGGGAATGATAGGGTGGCTTTGGTGGCACCCGCCATTCAGCCAGGGTTGCTCCACCGCAAAACTGTATTACCTTGAAGATGGAAAGAAAAGGCAGGTGTCAGGGACCCTGCCAAAACCTGATGTTTTCTCTGACCACTGGTAAGTATCTAAACCCTTGGAAACCACAGTTCTCTTCCACAGCCAGAGAAGAAATTGGGTTGGAGATAGCTGAGGTCATGGGAGAATGAAGGTATCACAATATAGACCTCCTCCAGTAAAAGCTGCCTCTTCTGCACTTGGGTCATGGTGCACTGTCACTTAACACTAATCTCTCTGGGTTTTGTTTTAGAGGGATATGGCTATTCTCCTGCATCTATCATCTGCTTGAAACACACAGGCATGCCTGGACAAGGCTGGTCCAGGAGAAGCTGAAGGAGAAGCATAAACTCCTCTTGCTCTCTCTGAGGGCTTGTGGAGGAACTGGAAGATAGTGGCAGAGCTCTTTGGAAAGTGGAGTTTCAACATAGTGAAAAAAGTTAGACCATTTTGATGTTATTGTTATTTCGAATTAGAGTATAAACAAAATATTAAGAAGTGTCAAGGAAAGTCATTTTTCTTAGAAAATAAATGATGTGGATGAAAAGCCATCTGGCAGCTGGCCACAAGTGGTGTTTCCCAGGACTCATCATCAGGGCCAGTCTTGTTTAATATCTTTATCAATGATTTGGACAAGGGTTTTAGGATGGATATTATGAAAAATTTCTTCACTGATAGGGTTGTCAAATGCTGGAAGAGGCTGACCAGGGAAGTGGTGGTGTTGCTATCCCCAGAAGTATTTAAAAGGTGTGTAGATGTGGCACTTTGGGACATGGTTTAGTGGTGGACTGGACACTGCTAAATTAGCAGTTGGACTTGATAATCACAAATGTCTTTTCCAACCTGAATGATTCTATCATTTTATGAGTCTATGATATATGTTCAGAATGAAGCATTCCAGTATTGTGAAAGGAAACAGTGAATTGAAGTGTCAACTTACTGAATGGTTTGAAACCATTTGTTTCAAACAGTTTCAAACAGTATGTGCCAAGAAATGTTTTTTAAGGGCAATTCAAAGATTTAAATATTTTAAAGACATAAAAACTTCCTAAATTCTAAGGAAATCAGATTTTCTGAGAAAAACATTATCTGAAAATCACTCAACCACCTGCACATTCTGAATTGCATGATGCCAGCATTATAAGTACAGAAAACAGCTCCTGGGCTGCTCACTAGCTCAGGTGTGCATAAGGGATACTGCTGAGTTTGAGCTTCCTTGCCACCTACCACTGTCCAGAGACCAGTGGTCCTTCTTTCCCTTCTGAGTAGAGGGGTACAGATGCCACACTTGTATCTACCTCTCAGCCACATGCTGCTGAATTGTTCTGGGATCACCAAGCATTTTTAACAGTAGGTTTCTTTCCAATCTGGATCATTCTGATTATAAAGATTTTGGAGTGACTACTTGCACTGTTATGGCTCTGACCTTAAGCTTTGGAGAAAAGCAGGGGAAGAGGCACCTAGCTCAGGTGCAATCCCAGGTGGCACATCCAATTTGTAGTCACACACTCACAGGACAAAGTTACACAGGATTTTTTTTCAGTGGTGAAGCTGTCATAATAAATTCCTGCCTACACATCCCATCCTTCACATCCATCACATCCAGCTCTTCATCTGCAGCTGCAGACTTGCCCTGTAAGCCTGGTCAGCAAAGATGTACTGAGTTAAAAACAGCTCTGTTATTCAAAGGTTGTTTCAGGTCTGGCTGAGACCAGGGCTCCATAATAACTGTTTCAGTCCGGCTGGGAGACAGTGGCATGTCTGGGTTGGTGTACACTGCCCTCACTGAGGTGCACAGCACTTTTTGCAGGACTGTGTGACCTGTGAAGAGCTCCCATGGATGTGGTCCCAGTACAGTAGGGGAAGGTGAGACAGAGTAAAACGGGACAACAGGTTTGGTCCTGCTCAGTGTGACCAAATGCTTACCATGGAGCTTGTCAGATAAAAGCCTTAAGTTTACCTCATATGATTATGCCTTCTGCTGCAAGTCTTTATTGTTGCTGTTCTTTGTATATTTATCTTGTATTACTTAGAAATCCTTTGTGCATCTTTTACTTTTATGGGGAGCTTACGGAGCAGCAAATATGAAGATTTTCATTGTATTCTCGTCTCTGTTGGTGTCAATCAAGTTCAAAGCTCTCGAACTTAAGGAATTTAAACTGATATAAAACTTATTTGAGGATAGAAATAGGCTCAAAGCTTAGAACAACTAAAATCTAACTGAGGAGTATAATACATTGAAACTGAAAGCAAATACATGCTTTCAATAGTCAGGGACAAACATTGCAAAGGTAGAGAGTTACAAATAGGCAATACTAATTAAGTCATTAAATTTGCAAAGAAAATGTATTGATTTGTTCCTTTCGGGGAAGTTAGGTTGTATGGTCTCCATTAACTGGAATACACACAGATAAAACTAATAAGCAAGTAAAGAAACAAATGAATAATCAGTGCCATGACTGTTCTGTATACCACGGCAATTTGCCCAAAATTGTTTATTCCATCATTGTTGCTGCTTGTTTACCTTCTGCGTTATGTTCATAGCTTAATGAAAATTGCCTACCCAGGTTTATTTTCCTAATGAAATGGATAAGTACAAGTGACACAAGTTTTGGACAATACATGTGTTGATACCAAATATTTAATCTTCTGCCCTCAGTGTCCACTTTTGTGCCTAAATATACGTGATGATGTTCTATTACAGTAGCATCTGTTTTTCTGTATCTTCAGTGTGCTCCATAAAATTTGTAGCCCAGCGTTTGGTCAATATCAGAGATATACAGCTTTAATTATGTCATCCTTTTATGTTTGAAGGAGTCTCATTTTAAGATTGGATTAATCTCTTCTGCCTTCCTTTTCTTGCTGTCTGTTTTTGTGCATCTTTGTTTCTTACTGGCCACCTCACCCTATTTTCTTCTGATGCTCTGTGGGTGCTTTATTTATGCGAAATTTAATCTTAGAATCTCAGCTTTCTTCCTCAGCCTGGTTTGGTATGGTGGACATAAAACTGGAAGATTTAGATCTGTAGTTGTAGGTGTGTGTCTGAGCTGAATAAAGTTTTTCTTAGTTTTCTTGTTGAAAAAATGAGTTGGGTTTTCTTTAAGCTGCTTCATACTTCTTATGGTAAACATTTGCTGCTGGGACATGGGGAAGGTTGATGGTTTTGAACCATTGACTACAACCAGAGGGGAGATGTTTGTATGTTCCTGTGATGACCCCAGCAAGGAAATCTTTCTAGGCAGGGTTTCTCTCAGGGTAGCTTGTCGCAGCCTGGGGAAAGGTGGCAACGGCAGAGAGTCAATCATGAGGTCAGTGACATCTTTATTAAGTTGACTCTGTGTTGGGATGTAAATATTTTCATCTACCACCTTTAGAAGGTCTTTAAACCTCATGTCCTGACAAGGTAAAGGACTTCTGGTAATAATTCTGTTTTCCATCAGGGACCGTGTAGGCATTTTGCTTGTACTTGTCATTGCTTGGACGTTTGAAAAGGAAGATTGTGATTTCTCATGAAGACATGCTATTCCAGCCTCTGTCAAGTCTTCAAAATTATTCTGATTCTTCTGAGAGTCCAAAAGTGGCTTATAAATGGGCTCACATGGCATACTGCTGCTTGATGACTTAGGAGGCCCAAGACGGACTGACACTTTGCCTGCAAACTTGGAAACTAAGTAGAATATAGGACAAATCAGATCAGCTTCTGCTGGAATGATATTTTCAAGAAAATAACATAATATCAAATCAGAATCATCCCATAATAAAGTCAGTATTTGTAAAGGCATAAATAAAAATGGATCTTGACATAGAATGAAATTTTGCACCAATGATTTAAAGCAAATGGTGATCTGCAGGTAGTCAATTGTCACTTTTAGATTAGCATCTCAGCATAAATTTGTCTGGCTTAATTTTAGTGACTACTATAGAATCAAAGAATCATATAAAATTTGGGTTGGAAGAGACCTTACAGGTCATCTCATTCCAACCCCCCTGCAGGGATACCTTTCTCTAGACCAGACTGCTCAGAGCCCATCCAGCTTGGCCTTGAATACTTCCAGGGATGGTGCATCCACAACTTTTCTGGGCAATCTATCCATTTATGGGTGACTCATAGAGAGAATAACCTACGCAATGACATGAAACATTGTCAATTATTTGTAATTAGTAATTGCTGAGTATGAATGGGATTAGGTGTCACCTGTTAATTTTTTCACCAAGTCAAAATTATATCTATCACCAGACTTAAGCCTGGGTAACAATTGCTAAAAATACTTGTAAGTTCAAAACAAAATGCAAAGATATTTCTAGCATTTTCAGGAATTGTGTTCCCTTTTTTTCCTTAGACAAATACCCTTTTACTATTTCGGACTAAGAGGGCGAGACTTATTTCAGAACATACCTTTTGACAAATTTTCTTGGTTTTCCAATGTAATTGCAATCTCATCTTCTTGAATAACATCTGGCATTGCCAGGGTTAGTAAAGAAGGAAATGCCTTATTGCCGTAATTCCTGAGGTTTTCCAGAGAGTCCATTTCAGCCTTCTGGAAAATCTTAATTTCTGACTTCTTATTCAACTGTTTATCAGGATTAATACTGTGTTTTTCTATTTCATTTTCCCTCTGTAAAATGATCAGACACCGTTTGATTAGTAAGGGACAAAAAAGCTCCTTAAACTTTAAAAAACCCCACAGTATAGCATGTACAATGGGAAATCTTGTTTTTACACAAGCCTTAGTTACACACATCGACATTTCATCTGAGCAGACCTCATGCCAGAGGTTCTTTCTGAAACTCAGTTGTACATAGGCTGTTGGACCCATCCTTTTACCACACAGACCACAGGGAGAAAGTTTTCATGAAAATCCACTGGAAACCAGAATGTTATCTTTGGAGAGCCCATAGCACTTCCTTATGGGTTATGGCTTGTGGCTCACGGAGTCTGCTAACAGATGTGTAAAGGAGACCAAGGTATCACAGAGCTCGTGCTGCAAAACAAAAACATTACAGGATGCTGTGAACCACTCCTGATCCAGGAGGAAGATTGTCGTGGGACTCTTGCTGTTTGCTGTGAGGGCAAGTAGTCAGCACAAGAGTAGACCAGACCTGGGAAGGTTTTGCAGTGGAATGGCAGCAGGACGACCTCCATGGAGCTGTGGTAACAGGACTGTTCATCCCAGCAAGAAAATGGGCTCCAGGACCCACTCCTTGCTGCAGTGGTGTTATCCTCACTCCTACAAGCATCCTCTATGCACATGGGGATATGTTCTCATACGTAAGTCACTTACCTGTCCCATGATCCAAGTTTTCAGGGTCCTCACTGTGGCAGCCTCATACAAACCAAGTTTCAGGTATCAAAATCTTGTGAAAATGCAAGGGCTGCACAGTGAAATAAATCCCTTCCTACAGAACTAATTGCTGTGATGATTGTGCCGTGCACTGCTTCTGTCATAGACCATATTCTCTCAAGCCTGGCACTCCTGAAAATGACATTTCTGAAATATAGAGTCATAGAATATTCTGAGTTGGAAGGGACACACAAGGACAATCAAGTCCAGTGCTTAAGTGAGTTGCCCATATGGGGATCAGACACACAATCTTGGTGTTATTAGCACCGTGCTCTAATGTAGGTTCTGAAACCAAGACAACTATCCACATAGATATTCCAGTTCAATATCAAGCTTTTTTATGCTGCTCTCCATATCATCTTTGACAGACTCACTTTAGCATTATGCTACCACTTCAAGAACTATCGGTAGTGAATTTCAATCTTTTCACCACCATAATACAAATTTTTTGTTTCCAGAATTAGAAAAGTAATTTGTTTTACTATAGTATGTTTATCTTCCATAGTTTTCTTCTATTCTTTGCATTGAAAAGTACTCCCCTTGTGAAAAATATGTTTTTAATCTAACATGCTGTTATAAAGAGTGGATGTAATTTGTGGAGAAAAGGCACTTTTGATAGCTTACATGTATTTTGTGAGTTAGCAAAAATACTTGGAAAAATTTGAAGGGCCCCAAACCTCAAACTTCTGGGGTCACCCCATCCTTCCTACATATTTGCAGCACCCAATCACAATTAAGGAGATCATTGTAGAAGTATTTATTAAAAGAAACACAATATGTTTAAGTTGACAACATATTGTTAAACCCACACTAGATCAATTGTGAATTTGAGATGTCATAAGTATTTCAGGCTATGCAATCAAATAGTCTCCCAGGATTTTACACAGTGCTAGTTAAGAAACCAAATTTTCATCTTACATTTTGCAAGCTGTCACCTTATATACAGTATATCAGAAAACTTGCCATGACTGGTTTTACTGCCAGACCTCTTAAGAGCTAATTGGTTAAGCACCTGGGCAGGAAGTTTTTGGCAGAAATGCTATTTTGTGCAAGGGCTAGCTATAAAGTTCTGGATGGCAAATTGTGATCATTAAGGTTCCCTCTTCTACAACAGAACACATAAAATGTAAATACATTGCTTGGAGAAATTACGATGCATAAAAGGACTGGCTGTGTTTTAAGTTTATCCAGTGACTTATGGCTCAAATTTGAACATGGAAAGGATCTTACGCTTTTTTCAGAGTGAAGCTTTCAGCAGACTTCTCTAATTCCACACAAAAAAATGAGACACATCTGTTTGCATCCACTAGAACTATTATTTGAATGTACAAATGTTAAGTATACAAGGAGATGTTGCAAATACAATGACTCACACTGGTTTATCAAACACAGGGATTTTGTAAATGAAAAGTAATTTCCACAAACTTTTTTTTCAGTTGTAGATTGGAAGTTGTGCTGAAAATTTTTCCCCAGGAAATTGTATGTTTCTTGGTATTGTGTGAAAAATCATAGCATATTCAGCTGCCTGGAATGAGTTTAATGCAGTGGTTTGTGAAAACGCATTTGAATTCCAAACAATGTTTTGGGCTGATTTTGTTGGTGGAATTTTTTATTGCTTGTTATTCATAAGCATTGTTATGAATGCAATTACTTTTCCATTTGTGTTGATATCTGATATGTTTGGTTCTTTTTGGACAGAATATTCAGAAAAGCCAGATACCAACTTTCTCTACAATTCACTGAGGGGAGAGGAGGTTTCTAATTTGCTCAAAAATATTGGAGTATTCTTTTACCATAAATTTGCTCCTTTATAAATATTAGCTCTCTGTAAATACATCTTTTCATACACAGACGGGAATACACAATAGTCTTTGTGGTCCTAGACAGAAATAATATAAATGAATGACAATTTGTTTTCAGGTTACTTCATTTTACTTGTGACTGTTAGTCGTTACTTATCTATTTCCAAAATTTAGATTTCAATTTGAACTCATTTAGATGTAAATGCTAATTTTTTTGCTTTAATTTTATACACACAAGTTGTCTTGTTGAGCTCAGTGAAACTACTCACATCCTTAAAGTTAAAGCAGATGCATAGATTTGCAAGATCTGGAGAGCTGAAAGGAAATTATGTGATTTAAAGACGGATCACACACTGCTAGTAATAAATAGCAAATAGTTGGCTTTATACAGAATAGAGAGAACATCTATCTATGCATTTTGAAATATCCTTGGCATAATTTGTAATACAAATATCAAATGCCCATGCTGTTGTAATTAAGCTCCAGTAACATCAGGCTCTCAATAAGAAGAATAAAAAGTGGGAAATTTCCCCCTCACACTCAGTTAACAATCTTCATGATTCTTCCTCAGTTTCAACTCTGTGGCCGGGTGGTCGGGGAAGTGTGTTACAGCCTGCCAAAGAGGTGGTTGAATTCGGCCTCTTTTAGACCAAAGCAGAGAATCCTTCCCCCAAGATAATCCCCTGCCAGTTGCCTACTCCGAGAACTGTGCCAGAGCAGTGTGGGCTAGTCTCCAAGGGAGCTGGGGGCTGCTCTTGGCTCTGCCTCTGCCCAAAAACGTCATGCCACCCGTGTGGGGATCCGTCTTGGGATCCAAGAGATGCATTCTTCTCTTTTCCCTATATACTTTGGATATGCTTAAGGCTAAGTTTTGCCATTGTGCAAGTATGTGCATAAAGTAGCTTTAGCTGAAGAACAGGCCAGAGGACACTGGAAAAATAAGAGCATTGATTAAGTAAGAATGCCCAACTTGATTTCTTAGCGAACCTTCCTCTCTTTCTCCCCTGTTTTTACCCAATCCCCAGCCTTGCTGGGGAATATGAAAATTATTGGATGTTAGAGAAACTGGCATAACGTGGTAGCAACGATAGTCATGATTTGAAAGAGTTCCTGGGGAGGTTAATTGTGCAAAAGGCTTGAATAAGAAGTGATCAAAATGTGATCTTTATTAACTACAAATATTTGCACAGCCTAACTACTAGCAAGGGAGAAATGCTGATTTTCATAACAGAGAAGAATGTAAGAGGGAGTAGAGAGACAAAAATAAGAAACAAATGATGTAGAGTGGTTATCTGGGGCAACAACTGAGTTTACAAACATTGATAACAGAATGACCTCAATTGTACTACTAGCAGGCTTTGTGTTTATGAGTTTAAAGGTAGCATTTACAAACTTTGTGCTGACAAATACAAGGAAACAAACTTTTAATGACATGGAAAAAGATGGTATGAATTGGCCTGTTCTAATTTCCTAATTCCTATGTCTTAGGAACAGATATTGGAAGATATTACTTGTGGTAGAAACCACTCTGCCAAATTTAGGCATCTAGGTTGTGCCTATATTTCAAGTTCTCAGCAAAGATGCTACCATAAAAGTGAGTCATTTCCCTGTGAAACCATTAAAGGGAGATTCTGTCTGCAAATTTAAGAACTCCTCACATTGAACATGTGAAGATTTGTACATCAGCATTTTTTTGTGGCGCAGAAGAAAGAACTACACAGCTGGGAGCTATGCGGAAAGGGAGATAGGGAAGCTGTAGAAATGGGGAGTTGTGATATGATACAGTTGAACAGACTTGCAGTTTACATGCTAGATGTGTCCTGCTAGGTTTAGTTCAACAAGGGGAACTGCAAGTCCTGGTCCTGGAAGAGAACAACCCCAGGCAACAGAATATGCTGGGGCCACTTAGCTGGAAATCAGTTTGGAGGTCCTGGTGAACACTAAGTTGACCACGAGCCAGCAATGTGTCCCTGCTGCAGAGAAGGCTGGTGGTACCCTGGGCTGCATCAGGAGTGTTGCCAGCAGGTCAAGGGAAGTGATGCTGCCCCTCTGCTCAGCATTGGTGAGGCCACACTAGGAGTACTGCGTCCTAGGTCTGGATTCCTCAGGACAAGAGAGACATGGATGTATTGGAGAGACTCAAGTAAAGGGCCACAGAAAAGATTAAGCAACTGGAATGTCTCTCCTATGAGGTAAGGCTAAGAAAGCTGGAGCTCTTCAGCCTGGAGACTCAGAGATATCTCATCAATATATACAAATATCTGAAGGGAGGGTGCAAAGAGGAAGGAACCAGGCTCTTTTCAGTGGTTGCAAGTGACAGGACCAGAGGAAATGGGCAAAAACTGAAACACAAGATGTTCCCTGTAAATATCAAGAAATTCTTTTTCACTTTGAGGGTGACCAAGCACTGTCACAGGTTTCCCGGGAATGCTGTGGAGTGTTCATCCTGGGAGATAATAGCTGTCTGAACAAGGTCCTGGGCAACCGTCTCTAGGTGGCCCTGCTTGAGTAGGAGGGTTGGGTCAGATGGCCTCCAGAGATCCCTACCAACCTCAGCCAGTCTGTGATCCCATGATTCTGTGAAAGTCACCACTGTTTTGAGCTGGGAGCTAGTCAGGTTGTTTTGGGTCAGTATTGTTTTGGATTTAAAACTTTGACTGGAAAATATCAACACAGAGGAAGAAAATGTCTGTCATTCCTTGGTTAAACTTCCCCTCTTTTGCACCCTACCTGGCAAGTATATTTACTATATAATCAGTAGTATTAATAACTTACAATTAGAGCTATTTTTGGTGCCTGTGCTTGAATTCAGCTTGACTCTCTGCCTTAGGAGGGCATTTTGGATGCCAGGAGTGGCAAGAAGTAACACAGACTCTTAATCAGCTTACAACTTTATCTTCAAGATCACTTCCCTCTTCCAGCCGGTTAGGATGCTGAAAGAGGTCATACAGGACATGAAACACTACCACTTGCCTTGAAGGCCAGATCTCTGCTGGCTGTAAATCAGCTTGATATCCAGACATATAAGAAAGCTGGTCAATAGCCTTCACAATATGGGTCTTTTTGAGTCACTTATGATTTAGCAGATCCTACTTAAAACTGTAATATGAAAAAACTCACATATGTGAAGAAAAGCCTCCTCTCCCTGGTCATACACACACACACGCCCCAACTCATATTTTTGAGTAATGGTTCTGCCTGCAGACACTGCACAGACTGTTGTGACGTCGGGGTTGTGTGGTGGGATGGAGATCTGGATCTGCTCAAGCTCATCTGAATAATTTCTAGAGGAGTCAACTGGACCTTCTCAAAATACAGCTTCTCCAGGGCAAAGGTTTTGAATGGGAGGCTAATCGCTGATGTGTGTTGTTTTGTAGCTGAAACTTTTCCCATTGCACTTCTGTGTTAGAAGCTGGAATTTGGCTTCCTGTCTGCCCAGTTTCTGCCTGAAGCAAAATTTTTATGGCTGAGCTGTGAACCCCTTAGTGGAGATGGTTGTAAAAGAAAAGCTTACAGCCTTTTTGACTAATTGTGTCCTTATGAGTGATTACCATAATTTTTTGAATTTATTTTTAAAATTTTTGTCACCTCTGATCTCACTCCATGTCCCTAAGTGAGTTGGAGCTGGGGTGTGAGCATAAGATACAGTGCTAAAAATACAAAAAAAAAAAGATACTGGGAAAAGATTTTACAGCTTTAACAGTTTCCCACTCCCCAGGCTTTGGATTAGGTCCTCACAGACCAGTTAGAAAGGGAAGGGATGGCGAGGTCACTAAGATGCTAATGATCCTTTTCCCAAAGGAAAAGTAATCTTATATGTAAGGCAAAATAATTCTCAATCCCCTTACAACTAGCAGGTAACTTTTAAAATTCATTAGTCATAAAAAAGTGTATATTTATCTCTGGTAATAAAAAAAAAATCTCATAAATTAATCACTTCTGAGAATGCCAGAATGCAGTTTTCATGAGACTGCACTCAAATCTGCAATTTCACAACTATTTTTGATGACTTTTCCCCCATTCCACGGACAAGTACCTTTTTTACATGTGTTATGTGGCTACTGTATTGTTCCTCATAAAAATCAAGAGAACACTTTATGCCTCTCATGACCATTATATCTCACCTGAGCATTTTTGAGGTCTTTCTGGTACCTGAGCAGTTTCTTCAGCAACAAACAATAAGAAGCCATGGCAGGAGAGGGTCTGTTATTTATTAAAATGTTGATAACTTCTGAAGGACTGAATTCCATAAATTCTGTCATGTAGTTTAAAACAACAGAGTTCAGGTCACTGGGGCAAAGTCTGAAAAATTAGGAAAAAGTATTTAAATACAAATGATGCATCCAGGTACAATGTCAGAATTTACAGTAAGTGGACAATACACTTCTTGTGATGTAGCTGGAGTAAGCTAAGTTGATTGTATAGGCAAACTATGACACACAGTTGTGCAATGATCCTCTTGTCTGGCTATGCTAACTTCATTTCTGGGCTGAGGCTCTGTTACTGCATCATTAAAAGTTCTATTGTTGATTTAATTGATTACTCTGAAAGGACACCCACCAGGATTAAGCCTGAAAAATTTTCTCATTTTAATCAAGTGTGTATATTTCAGTTCTCAGTACAGTAGCCTGCAATGGATTAGCAGAGACATAGTGTGTGTGTGCATGGACATAAGAAGACAGGAAGAGTGCCAAAGACAGGAAAATCTTGAAGGAAAAAAAAGAATTAAGAAAGTACAGTGGGATTTTAATTTTTATACAAATCAGATTGTGAAATAAAACCTGTTTTGTTACAATGATAATTGCTTTACTCACAGGCTTCTGTGAGTAGTGAAGTCTAGTAAAGGCACTGTAGAAATATGTCAGTCTTGGATTCTGAGCCTCCTAATCTTAAAACCATAAAACCATAAAGTGCCTTACTAAGAAAAATTTGAGGCTATTTAAAGCCAGTTACAAAGATGGATGAGAATAAAAATTATTAGAATAACAGGAACTTCCGTGTAATATAAAAATGTTGTTCCCTCAGGTGGGCATGTGAGACCTAGTTTTGTAGGAAAGGATTAGAAGCACACTGTCTGGAAATTAGTGGCAGCTGTGAGGTATGTTGAGAAAAATATTACTGATACAATGGATATAAGCAATTCCATAAGGATGTTTCCTCTTACACAAAATTTATCCATGGTCAGAAAAGTTGATGTGACATTTTCTGAAACAAAATTCTGTCACTTTGGAACAGCCCATAGTAGATAACAAAAATATCCTAAAACAAACAAGCAAACAAACAAATCTTAAACACACTTCCCTCCCAAATCCCCAGTCCTGAAATCCCAAGCTAGAAGATAGATATCAAAATGGTTACCTGTTCTCATAGGGAGCAGTGTTTAGTATTTTCTTGGTGAAACCTTCATTCAACCATTTGTCTTTTATTGCTTCTTTGACTTCAGGTCTCTTAGCAGGGTCAGGCTCAAGTAAGGACTGCATGAAGTGTACAGCTCCTGTGCAATATTATGATGCAATGGTCTGTTTACTAGTAACAGTTGATTATCAGACCAGCACATATTTTTTCTGTTTCAGAAGTGTGGCACTTGCCCTGCTTCTCCACGTTGTAGAGCTTCAGATAAAATTCAGTCTCTAGGGCTTTACTCTGAGTCTGCCGTGGTCCCATATAGTTACTCTGTCCCCCCAAGGTCACCTGAACAGGGTGGGCGGCAGGAGCCAAACCATGCCAGGATGCATGCTAGAGACCTATAGATGCTGCTGTAGATACAGTACTGGACCTCATTTCCTAATTTTCTTGATTTACCCCAGTGAATGCAGCCTATGGCATCAGTAGCAATCTCAGTATTGTGCTCAGTCAGTATTTGATGAAGGCTTTGGGAAGGGGCATTTCAGTGCCAGCTGAAGTTATTTAACCCAGGAGCTCTTTTCCTCACACAAAGAAGCCAATTGTATTGATAAAACTCTCTGTAACAAGGGAAGGAGATGAACCCCTGTGCTCAGCTGATGTGTTATGCTTTGGCTTCCTGGAGTTGGGACAGAGAAAGCTCAAACATTCCTATATGTCAATCATTCAGCTCCAACACTGCGTAAAGTCCCTCTCCTTTTTTTCTTCTTGGGAAAACTTTACTGAATTCTTCTATATTCCTTGGGGATGTTTTGAACTGAACAAAATGGCGAGTGAGCATTAAACTGGGAACATACTGCTCCTTTCACTTGTAATCTCCATTGGAAGAACTTAGATCTAAAGTAGGCAGAGCTAGTTCACTACTGCCCTCTCACTAAATTCTCAATGGGCAAGAGAACAATGGAGTTATCCACAATCTTCCACCAACTGTGTGGGCTTTGTAGAAAAGTAGAGATAATGCATTTATTAGTAGAAGCTATAACAATAACATAAATAAGAAAAATTAGAAATATAATAATTGCAGCTGTGGAGGGATTGTACAAGAATCAAGCTGCTATCTGGCAACCGATCTCCAGAGAAAGAAAATGAGAGACTAATGTACAAACATTCTTGACAGCTATGGTAGATATCCTCATACCACTTACTAGGGGAGAGAAAGAAATTGAATCATCACATTATCTTAATATTGTACTCCAGACTAGATCCAACTAGCTTAGTCTGGAACTGTCCGCTGCTCCCCAGTGCTTGGCTGCAGGCAGCCACTGAAGCTAATCTTGGTTCCTAGGCTCATTCTTGCCTAACTTCATAGCAATGCTGTTCAAAATGATGGGGAGATCTGAACTCTTGCTGGTAGATAGCTGTGCTAAACATATCTTGTTCTGCTCTGCTTTTTGACTTGGTCAGCGAAGCTGTACGATAACAGCTGTGAGAAGGTGCCTAAGCTTGTGATGGTCGACAGAGGAGATGCTGCTCCAGGTGGAGAGAAAATAAGGATTAAAGCCAGAGGTGTATAGGAATCATTGTAAAGCAGCAAAATTTTGAGCTTTGAGGAAATAAATTTTGGATTGCTAAATGAGAGTGCATACACACCAATGTGACTTCTAGGGTTTAGAGCCATGGGTTGTAATTCAGGATAGAACTTTTGAGAACTGTCTTTCCCAGTTGTCCCAAAAGACTCCATTGACTGTATCTCATTAACGATTGTCAGTAAAATTCATTGGAAAATGTTGTATTTCAGTTCTTTCTCATGAAAAATATGAACAGACTCTTCACAAAAATAACCCTCCCATTTCTTTAATAATCTCAATGTCCTGGGCTCTGTCAGTAGCCAAAAGATAAGGTCTTCAGGAAAAAAACATTTAAGGCTTTGATAACTTATTTCTGAGAAAAACAGGAAAGAATGCCTGACTATGACACATTGCATGGGACATACTAAACATGACAGTGTTCTCATTTACTGCACAACGGCTCCACTTATGTAAAAGCAATGTACATTTTATTCCCCCTGTAAATAAAACCCAAGAATAATGGTCTTTTGAAGATACAACAATGTTATTTACCTACTAGCCTGAGATAAAGTGATATTGTCTTAGGCTCAAAAAAGTTATTTCTAAATGCAAGCAAAGTAACTGCAAAAAGTATCTCATGTTTTCCAGAAGATTGCATTATTGTTAAATTCACTTTATTGCATGGGTTAGAACATCTTTACATCGGTATACTTTATAAAAATTGAAGTGCTTTACCAGGGGAGATATCTGACGGAATAGGGCTGATTTCTCCAATTAATATCTTTTGATGTAGTTGCTTGATATTAAAAGGTTCCACAGTGAAGGGTAATGTGCCGGTTAGCATAGCAAACATGCTTACGCCTCTGTCAAAGACAAAAACAAGCATCAGAGCTCCATATAATGCTAATAAATATTTATTTAAAAATTCCACACACTTATGAGTCAGTTTTCAGAGATTTGCCTTCAGCATCAAGAATGAGGTTACAAATTACCTCTAAGCAGCAATTTGTACTGAATACACATCTTATGCCTTTTTTCTTTGTGTAAATGCCATTTTATCTTGAAAAGAATGTTGTGGGAACTGCATATGAAATGGAGTGTACAGTGAGTGACTGGAAAGCCTGCAGTGTTGAAAGTGGAAACCTGCTGTTTATTTTAAAAATAAGCTAATTGGAGTGACAGTGTAATATACCCAGCCCATCAGAATAAAGCACTTTGGTTTGAAGGCTGAGTGACAACACGGAACTGGGACTGATGCAATAGATCTTGTTCCAAATAGTAATTCAGTTCTTCTTGCTTTGCTCAGATTGCTAAATTAGGTGTGACTTATGCCTAGAAGGCATTCGTGTGGTAACAGCTTGCTGTTGGCTAAAGACTTAAAACTTTAACTCTTACGGAAGATTAACAGTCTGCTAGCACCAATCAGCAGAATTTGTGAAGGTTTGCCATTCAGTTTGGGGAAGTACCAACATTTGGAAAACTTGCTTAGCTGTCCTGAGTTTGTGAAAAGGGAGGTTTCCTTGAACACTCTCCATGGTATTTCCTTTCTCCAGCTGAACCACACAACCACAACAACACTGTTCTTCATCGTAGAATGAACCATACAACGGCCTGGTTGGAAGGGAGCTTAAAGATCATCTAGTTCCAACCCCTCTGCTGTGGGCAGGGACACCTTTCACTAGACCAGATGGCTCAGAGCTCCTTTCAACCATCCTTTACCATGTCTCTACACAACTCAGCAGAGACAGTCATTTTAGGAATTCAGGCAATTCTAATTTAATTGACCTGATTGGTACATTAGTGGAGATGGCAACAATGTTATCTGTAAGACAAGTCTGTGGTGTGCTCAACTGCAATCTTCTATTAATGTTTTCAAACAGTTGAAAAACCATGATAAGATGATGGCACCATTGAAAAACAAGAGAAGATGGTGTCATCTTTTTCAAAATGTTACACTGGATTACATTTAAACCACTGACCTGTGGATAAATGCTTTTTATTAATCTTGACTTTTATTAATCTTGTCTCACTTTAACCATCTAAACCCTAGGTATCAATAGTTATCAGTGGAAAGAGACAGACCTTTCCAAGAGACATTCATCATAGCATTATTATACAGTTGTTTTAGGCTACAGTTAAGTGCCTCCGTGCACTGACTAATACAACACTAACTACCTGGTATAACCCAATGCCTAGTTTTTAAATGGATAAATTTAGGGAAGATCAATCTCTTCTCGCTTTACCAAACCTTCTGATAAATCTAGTCCTTGAAAGTAAAGCTTTTCAAAACTTTTGGATGAATCCTTTGAGTAAAAAACCCCAGACATACAAACAATGCTACAAGGAAATGGCACTGAGTTGACTGAAGTTACAAGTATTTTTGTTCTATAATACATAGTAGCATATGGATTAAATGTAGCTGAAGTTGGAGAGAGAGAAGGCTCCCTGAATACTCTCTGATGAGAGGGAGTAACATGCAATACAAAGGGATGCATAATGCCATTACAAAGTTAAAAATGTTTTTCTTTGTAACACTACAAACACTACCATGCACTTTAAATTGCGAATGATATACATGACTGTTGCCTTAAAATGGCAATAGTTCTTTTCATTAGCCTATTAGATGGGGAAAGATTAAAGGTATGGGAATTTGGGGAATGGATGGAGCTGCTGTCCTAGAATCTGTTTTAAAATATTGCACACAATTGTAGCTAGTTAACAGCAACAGTAACAGGACACTTGGTATTTAATTGTAGATGGAATCTGATGGTTAAACTTAAAAGTTTATTAGTTAAAACAAACTGCTTCTCCTCTGTCCTATGGAGCTGTCTGGATTTGTTTGAACACAACAGCTGTTTCCTCAATATAGCTGGTGCATGAAAGCTAATCACTTTCCAGTTCTCCAAAGAACTGTTAATATCTTCTGCATGAATGTCATGATCAGGCAAACAGGTACTGTTTAGGCAAACAGGTTGCTTTCTGTTGCCTCTCCAGAGCCTTAGCTGTATTGCAGTTGAATCTGGTTGGTTTTGTGAGTGTGCTTTTGACTGACTATGGCTTTTTGGTTCCTGTTTTAATGACTCCTTGTCAGTTCTGCTGCATAGTCAGTATTTCTGTACTGCACTATTTTGATTCTAGAGTCCAGCGAATCTGTAATCCCCTACTTATTTTGTTACAATAGAAGTAACTTATCTTTCTAATTAATATATTAGTCCATCAGAATTCCCTTTCCCACTATGATAATGTGAACAATTCTGATCTAAATGGTAAATATATTTTATGCCTGAGGTGCAGAATCTGTCTGCGTTAAACACCAAGGGTCATACATAAGTTTTATAGAGCCCTCGAACTGTTATGTGCTGTTTATTAAGAGACTGAGCTTAGTAGATGGTTCTAAGATTACTGCTTTGCCCTTATTCAGATATTTGAAATGTGAATTCAGTATTATCCTATTTAAGTGCTGACAGCATCCTCTAGACCTGATTAATCTGTGTTATGCCTACATAAATTCAGAGTAGCACTCTTGAAAACCAGAATTATACAGAAATAATTTGGTAGCATGCATCCCTTCATCCTTAACTCTGTGTACCATTCATACCCAGTAAATTTAGAAGAAGCTGAGGTATAAGAATCATGGTTAGATCAAAACCCTAATATATAGTATGTCTGCCAGAAGCAGTTCTTGAGAGGAATAATGTACGTTATATATCTATATGTATATAAATCCTTTTCCTCTTTTGAACATATAGGAAAACTAAGCTTCTGTTTCAGGCACCTGAACCAGATGCCTGTATGTAGGTACCAGCAACCCTGCAGAGCAAACTGAAACATTTTGTCCTCTGTGAACACCCGGTTTGGTGAAAGCTGCTGAGAACGCCCCAAGGAGACTCTGTATTCTCACAGCTGGACAGGCAAGTGCAACGTTCCAGTTCAGAGCAGTTCTGTACATCCAGGCTTTCCTTTCCTTTTGGCACATGTCCTGAATGAAGTGGTTTAAATCAAATGCAGCACTGTGTGTTGAACAGAATCGCAGAATGGTTTGTGTTGGAAGGGACAGTAAAGATCATCGAGTTCCAACATTTCTGCCATAGTCAGGGTCACCTTTCACTAGACCAGGTTGCCCAAGGCCCCATCCAGCCTGGCCTTGAACACTTCCAAGGACTGGACATCCACAGCTTCTCTGGATGAAGGTGCATTTGATCAGCCACTGATTTTTTTAATCTTAATGTTCTAGGTAAAGATTTGGTTTAGTTTTTATATTACACATGCTCATCTTCTATGCCCTGAATCATACTTGCTAGAAATGGGCTTAAAAATGTGTCCTAGGTGGAACACTCAGACCTGGGCATACAGTTACTGTTAAAACAGCTGAGAGGTTGATACCCTGGCACATACACATATATATACACACACATATATAAAAATATGAACTGCCTTTGGACAAATGGTGACATGGACACAGAGAGTTGATCCGTGAAGATCAAAGGATACAAAAATCAGTTTAATATACTATCATTTTGTCAGCTCCACCTAGAAAAAAAAAAAGTAAAACCCCCCATAACTTGGTTGCTAGAACTGCAAACTGCAAATACATTTGAAATGTCTGAGATAGTTTATGTGAAAGCTTACTCTTCTTATGGCACCTTCTGTATTCTTGCTTATTATAGGAGACATATTCTGTAGGTTTAATAAAAAAAGTAAATGGTTTCCATTCAGGTTTATGCCACCTATGAAGGAAATAATTCTACCTTTTTATCAAAATTTGGTACAAAGGGCCTAGCTAAGATATGGATGAAGGTCTCATAGCTCTGCTATAGACACATCCTTGGTTTGTGTGTCCCTGAAACTCAAATTTTCTGTATAGATTTCTTCTTTTGGCAAAATATGCCTTAAACAGAAAATGCCCACTTGTCAGCCCAGGGCTTTCAAGGTTCCTGATTTTGACAGAAGTTACTCTGCTACCAGCTGAAACTATGTGCCAGAAGGACAAGAGGGTGGCATGGTTCACCTGAGGGGGTTGGTACATACAAGTTCTTTCTCTGGTTTTTCAGTACAGGTTCTTATATGCAGACATCTGACCTTCTGCTGACTTCTCTTGACACAGGATTTCTCCAGAATAACATGTGTATTGATCTTTCATTTTTTTTCTCCAGTGTTTTGCAAATGGATGTACATTTCAAGATGCTTGTGTTTATTTATATGTCTTTGCTTTTGCCGTCGATACCCAAAGCAGAGAGCCACGAACCCATTTACATCAGTCTTGCCTAAACAATTCAGTGCTGAGAGTGTTTTGATAAGTACATTTTTAGATCTACTTACATGGACCAGACATCCACTTTTGGACCGTATTTCCTATGAGCAAGGAGTTCTGGAGCAGCATAAGCTGGGCTTCCACACTGGGTATGTAACAGCTCCTGGGAGAGACCACTGAACTTTGCAGTATTGCTCAGTCCAAAATCTGACAGTCACAAAAGCAAAGGCAAAGAAGTTTTAGTCTCTTCTCAAATTACTTTCACTTTACCAATTATCTGAAGACAGGAGAAAGACAACACCAGCAGCTAGTTGTAACATCTATTGATGTCTCAGCTGTAGATGCCAATTTGGGTTTGAATAAATGTGCTGTGAATTAGCAGAGGAACTGCAGTGCAGTTACACAGCCATGGATCTGGTTTGGTTGATTTTTGTTTAACTGTTTTGGTTTGTCTCTGTTGACTGCATGCTAGTACAAAGCTACACAGTCACATTAGCATGGCTTAATGAGCCACGGCATTCAGCTCAGCTGGGTGTGCTTTAGCTCGTGGTAGATGTGGGGCAAAATGTGCTAACTTAAGCCTTTTTCTCTGTATATGTGCACGTGTGCAAGGGGGAGGGAAGAGAAAGGTGTGATTGTAAGGGACTGGCTGGCTATAAAACAGGGGTGAAGAGTTGGTGCCCTTTTTTCTCAGAGGTGCTAAGCTTTTAAAAGTTTGGGAAACACTGGGTTAAACATGTGACTTCTCTAAGTGTTAGCATACCTTGTGGAGATTTTTCTGTAGGGTTTCCACAGTATAAAATTAGTTGCTTCTCTGAACTGTGTTAACTGCTTGGTGCAAATTCTCTGATTTTTATCAATGTTTGCTTCACAATCTTAGTAAGATTTCTGTTGGTGACCAAAGGCGGTGTTTTTTTGTTTGTTTGCTTGTTTGTTTTTAACACATACCAAATGATGATGTCTCTACGTGAAATAATGACTAAACAGAAACTAATATGTTCATACCTGCATTTCAACTAGAAGATTTATTTCTTTGTCTACAAATCACTTCTGCTAGGAACAGCTTTCTACACATAAAAGCTGGAATTGTTTCTTGCTTGTCCAGAAATACACAAGGGAAAATAATAGGCAAAATTGTTTTCCTTGTTCTCTTAAAAATATATTTCAGTTAAAGCTCAGATAAACAAGCTGTTAAACCATACTTCATAACTTTTATTTATTCTAGAAGCTCAAATATGTTTACTGAATAGTCACAAGCTCACTCATAAAACATGCTGTTTGAATAGTAACGAAATTGTCACTGAAAGACACACACACACACACAAAAGCAGAATACAAGCTTTGCTGATAGTGTGCACCTACCAATGATTTTGATGTTGTTGTTCTCATCAAGAAGAAAATTTTCAATTTTTAGGTCCCTGAGAAGACAGAAAGCAAACTTTAAGATGCCTGATGTCCCAGCTAACCATTTGCAGATCGTTTTTAGCAAAGTTTAATTAAAATAATAACAATAGTTCTGCACGTCTCAGCCTACAATTGTAACAAGATCCTTATTCTTTCCTGAAGTTTTCAGTTGGGAAAATGGAAGCTTTCTGTATTTCAGGGAATATTTTATGAGTATACACAAAAAGACTGCTAATTTTAGGAATTATCTGTTGTGTTAGTATATACATTTTTTAAAATGCATTTATTTCTTCTTTTGAGTAAAAAATTTGCACTTATTGGACTGGAGGTTTTTGGGCTTTGTTTGAAGTACTGAGCAATGCTGAACATTTCTGATTTCTTCGTGAGTAAATTGTGCCTGGAAAATATGAAGGATGAGAAGGGAACTGGAAAGTGAGGTTTGCCTTGCTTGCAGAAGAGGGAAGGTGTACCAAAGCTGGTTCGGAGACAGATACCCTGAAAGTGGAGACATCTCTGCAGTGATGTTTATGTTAACAGGGTCAACCAGTATCAGCCATCCACTCCCAGGAGGACATAATTCAGAGATGTAAGAAAAACTCTGCTAGCTGGCTCAGGTACTTAGTTGCTCATTGTGGGAATATTTATATATTTATCAATTGAAACCCAAAGCCAGAATATTGCTCCACTCTGGGAAGTGTCTGAAATGGCAGCTGAAATCTTTTGCATCATGGATGAATCCTCAGCCAGTGTAATTTTGGTGCTGGGAGCCAGTGCAAGAGCCTGCAATGCTTTCCTGACTCCCATCAAAGCCTCCCGCATACCACTGGAGGTTTCCTTAATTTCTAGGGGAGCTGGGGGGATAAAAATTTCAGAAGCAGCTCCAGGGATATGGATTTCCCTCACACCTGCTCTGAAGTTGAGAAGTGCTTTTGTGAGACCAAAGACCTCAGAAAGCACAGGAGGACAAACCAGAAAGCGGGATGGGAACAAGGAGGAAGGGCTGGGTGGACTGGTGCTGCATGAACAGCACTGCGCTTCTGCAGGGCATGAAGTCTGGAGGTGTACCTGGTGATCATGATGGATGATTTTATGGGAGCTTCCTTTTATCTCTGTGGCTCTGGATGGGACAGCATTGCACTCAAAACTGTCTGCTGCCCCAAGCTGAGAATGGATGGGGATGGTTTCAATGATAGCTTTTTAATACATTTCAATTTGAATAGCATGTTTACTGGAGTGGCAAATAAACCAGTACCCAAAAGCTGGGAGGTAGATTTAAGATAACTTTGTTCATAGTCTACAGGTGTTATAAGCCTGTGCATGCTGCAGTTTAAAACTAGCTGTGTTTCAGGCCACTGCAAATCTGACATTTCTATCAGATTTAGCACTCCACAGTGCACTCTGATGACTTTTACTACAGTACAATTAAATAATGTTACATTGGATTGTTACAATTGCCGTGGTATAGGCTGAGCTGAGTGCTCACACAGTTAATAAAAATGTGTGCTTTCTTGCCTGAAAAACCTGATAATGGCCACTATGAAAGTTTACATAGTGTCAGAAGCTATTTTTCACCAAAGATACATCTTGTTCTTTTTTTTTTCCAAAGGAAACTTTCCAAGAAATGTTGTAAATTTAAGCAACACCATGATTTTTCATTTTCTCATTCCCATGGGGACTTCAGAGAGAGAGCCTAGAGGGCAGCTTGTGATGTTTCTCCTGGTCTTTGGTCCAATAGGGATTCAAAGGGATATATGACATATTTATATAGGAGAGTGGAAAAGAGCCAGGAAAAATTAGGAACTGTACACACAAGCAAGTAAATGTCACCTAGCAAGCACCAGATTTAAGAGTTGGTAGCTGACTGTATGCATGCACTAGCCCAACCCAGTTGCAAGGCAATGTGATTTAGCTTACACATCTTTATTTGAGGTTTTTAAGCTCAGAAGCATTACCTCACCACTTGGCCATGTCCAGAGCAGGCATAGGGATAGTGAGCAGACTTCAGTTGATGAGTGTTAGCTTGTGGACCTGTTGAATCAGATCTAGTGCCTGAGCCTTCTTATATCTGGCACACTAAAATACTGTGTGCTGGGACAACTGGCAAGCACGTCAATGCTCTGTCTTCTGCACCATTTTTGCAACTGTGACATAAAATCAACTGTGATCTTGCATGGACAAGAAAAGTTACTATCTGTTCTGTGAAATGTAGACTCAAACTTAATTTAAGCTGTAAGGATTTGTTGGATCAGTGCTGATTTTAATGCTAAATTGGAAAAGTAAACCTCAAGAAACAAAAAAGCTGTCTGAATACAGTGTAGAATTTATGTTGAGAGATATCAATTTGGACTAAAAATAGTCACAAATTTGGAGAGTTTTTCATCAAGTATATTATTAAGACAATAGAAAATATTGTTTTTCTGAAATATATCCACAGGGTTCAAAATCAGGAATGCCCATAAGACCCTTTTGAGCAAAAGTACATTAAATTAGCAAATTCCTAAGTGATGAGCTTGGGAATGTGACCAGACACCTCTACTCTAGTAAAATAAAGGGACCCCCATGCATAGACCCAAATATTATCACACAATTATCCATCTCATGAACTCATACCTGGTGTGATTTTACCAGGATGCTCCCTGTGGATTGGCAGCTGTTCCCAACAGACAGCTTGGGAACCCTTCTCTACTTATGTTAAAGGAATGTAAAGAGTTGAGCTTTGCTCCATGCTTAGATGAGAAAGTCAGATAGAATTTGTGAGGTAACTTTCCTATTTCTGTACTCATCTTTCTGGGAACACTGATGTCTTTTTTTCAGAAGAGGATACACCCACAATTATCCTCGTTGGTTTGAACTCTGCAGAGAGTTGTTAGAAATTACTGCACCTGGAGCTGAGCAGGGAAACTCTTCCAGATTTTCCCAATCTGCTTCTCATATGAGGTCAAGGCCACAGCTCTGAATCTCAAAGCCAGCAGCAGGTCATGAGTTGAGGTACTGCTGACTGAACCTACAACTACGACCAAGCAAGGTGGCTTGGCTCCTGCCAGATCATGCAACTCCATAAACCCTATGACAAAATGCTTGAGAGCCAGCGATGAATTTTCCTTTTGTTAGGGCAGTTTGATAGTAGGTCAAGTCATCAGAGAAGCTCACGCCATTTTGCACATGGTTAGTCTCAGGATGTGAAGCAAAATTTTTCTCTCTTGCAAAGCTTTCCCAGTAAAACATGACCAACAAGAAAAGAGAGAAGTAGGGCAAGAAGTCAGGCTACTCTCCAGCTCACTGTGAAGAGTTGTTTTCAAACAAAAAGAAAGGCAGAGAGCTTGAGAAATTATTGAGGAGTGTTGTCACGGGAAGAACATATATGTTATGATCATGAGCACCGAGGAAATGCTGTAAAATAGATTAATCAGGCAACCAGCAAGGAAAGAGTGTCAGTCTGGACTAACGGGGTGAAGCCCCTTGGGTTTATTTTCTGGTGGGTTTTTTTTGTTTGTTTGTTTAAATTCTCTAGGTCCCATACTGTCCATTTCTTTCTTGTCTATTCCTTATTAATTAACAAATCCAATATAATGAAATGCTGGGTTACAAGAATTTCAAGTCACAAAGTACTTGTAAATGTTGAGCCATCACATTCACAACTTATTTGTTTCATGGTTGCTGTAATGATGCAGTCAATGGGATTACTTGTTAGGTCCTGGTGACTTTCTTGGTGAGTCCATTCTCCATTTAAAGTTAAGGATCTGATTGACTGTGAATCAGATCCTTTTGTTTAAGTAAAACAAAAAAATGGTGGGAAAACTGCTTGTAGCCTATTCTCCCATCTACAATGGAAGTATTATTCTACTGCTCTTGGCATATGTGCCATGATCTCTAGTAGGGGGGAATATCAGCTCTCCTTGTAAGGGTTGCTGAGATTCCTCTAGCAGTAGCTGAAGTCATGATCTATCCTTGTAATGCAAAAGCCAATATGGAAGATCAGTGACCTGTCTCAGACCCAGACCTGCAGGACGTGTCCTTTTCACAAGTAGTGAGCTGTGATTCCTCAATTTTCCGTCCTGGGTGACACGTGGTTATTTCAACATGTTGTGGCTAACCAAAGGAAACCAATATTTATATGCTTAGCCACACTGAAATATTTGAATTAGATACACATTTGTCACCAGCTAATTCTGAGATAATTGTGGCAAAGTATTGATTTGTTGTGCTCATCAGCTCTTATCCCTGGACTTTGTTACTTGTCTCCCCCAGGAGTGCATAACAGCTTATAACAGTAATAACCACTACTGAGAATAAAATGCTTTATTAAAATGAGCTGAGAGAACCTATTCTTCTTAGCAATCCCTGTTTTTATAAGGGAAAAATAAAGAAATGCTCTTTTGAAGAAGAGCACCCTGTGCTCTTGCACACTTTTTTTCCTTACTGTTTGAAAGAGGAGAAACATCTTACCGGTGAACAATTCCCTGGCAATGCAGGTGCTCTACTGCAGATAGAATTTGCCAGATGTATCTCCTTACTTCCCATTCTGCCAGCCTCTTTTTGTCACAAATTCTGTCCAGGAGGTCACCACCAAGGCACAGTTCCATCACCATGTAATAGGAGTTGTCAGTCTCCAAGGTCTCATATAGCTGAACAACATTGGGATGCTTAATCATCTGGTGTACCCGTGGCTCACGCTTCATGTTTTTTAAAACATAGGAATCCTGTTTGGCTTTCCTCTTGTCAATGACTTTTATGGCTACCTAAATGGCAGGATATTTGCAAATTAGCAACAAGCTTTGCAACCAAGACTAGTTTTCAAAAGGGTAGGGAGTAAGCTGACATGGGAGAGGCTGTTTTTGACATAGCGTTGATAATCAGTATCACAGAGGGAGACATTAGTGATGGAAGAATACAGTTTTTATTTCTCTTGAAGACCAAAACAGAAAGGCTGAACTCCGTCTTAACCATCCCTCTCTTTACATTAATAAATATGCACATATGAAATATTCTGAAGTGCAAAAGATCCCTACATGCTCAACTGCATCTGTAAAGTAGCACATTTACTTTCTAACACGCTCCCCTGCAATTTAATCTAAAAGTCACTCAAGATGCTGGGTATTATGGGCTGGGATTAGACTCTTTGCGGTTTGGGGAGCTAGTTGGACAGTGAAGTTACTGAAGCCACAAGAAAAGCAAAATTCAAAAAGTCACTTTATAGTAACTCACCTTTCCACACTTGTGTCTAGTGGTACATTATTTTAGCCTGACTGAGCTAGAGATAACAGAGTTTATCTGTGTCGTGCCATATAAATTATTGCTATTGGAGTGTCTAGCTTTTCACTAAGTGTTGTCCATAGTTTTAAAGGTCAGATACACAACACTAATTAGTAAACATTACTCAATGAGGATTATTAGGGAAAGCAGATTTGAGATTGTCTTTATGCCATCATTCTTCTCTCTTTCAGCAGGAAGGTATCTTTGTTGCCTCTATTTTATAATTGTGAAAATAGTTGCACTCAATACATATTCACACATGTGACTGATTATACATGAGCAATAAACCCAGCTTATGTGGTTAATTTATGAGGATAAGGTTCACAGGATAATACACTGAGTAGACTGTGGTTTGCAGATTAAATAGTCTGAAATTTTCTGCCATAAATTAGTGTTAGGTTACTTGCTATTCATAAGTGTGTGTTATGCTCTCATCATAAGCTTACCTTCTCCCCTGTGGGAATGTGCAGTCCCTCCATCACCTTGGCAAAGGAACCCTTGTTGATCATTTTGCCTACTAGGTAATTCCCAACTTGTTTGGAATGAGGGAAAGTCTTCCCGGTCTCTTGGGGCATCTTGTTAAAGCAGGCAGGTATTTTTATATCCTTTACGTTTTTCTCCCACTCTGCTAATATCCCATCCAAAATGCCGGTATCTGTCATTTTGTCATCCAAGCCTGCTTTTGTTGCTGTGGGCATCCCTGGAGAGACAGATTTGTATTGCTACTTTCCAGACGCAGCTTGTGATTCACAGCAGATCCAGGCATCAGGTCTGTGCCATCCTGCTGATGACAGAGCAACTAATCCTTTCCCCCTGAGACTCCGGGTTTGTCACTGATCTCTAGTCTGGGCACACAGATCTGCTCAAGCAGAACCAAGTCGTAGATTATTAACCTAACCTGATATACGATGTCAGTTAATGCCCCAGACCTGCCAAGTTAGATGACACATAATCCCAGCGTTAGCCTGGAATATAAGTCTCTCTTCCTCCTCTAATAGTTCCCAAAACACATGTTCATTGTAAGTTGCACCAAACTAAACTGAGTCACAGTTTTCCTGGCATGCATATAGCTGGTGTACAAGGACACAAGTTTATTCTAAAAACTCTATGGTAACATGAATGCAAAGCTGAGGTATGTACCTGATGCTGTGCAAGCATTTATTTATTTGCTGTGTAAAACATGAAAATATATATGCAATTGTAGTACGTTTAACTCCTGACCTGACTCCAGGTCTTACAGATGTCTTTTGTGTTTTGTGGGACACGATTCCTGTTGTCTGTGCAGTAAGGACAGTGAGAGAGTGTGTGTGTGTGAGAGTGTGTGTGTGTGCGTGCGCGTATGTGTGTGTGTGAGCTTTTTCCTGCATACAACAAGGACTGATAAAAAGAGGAAAATTTGAAAAAAAGAGACCTTTTCTACAGCTGTTATCTACCTATATGTCTTCATTATCTGGGTTCTTTCCAAAGTCATGGAGAGAGAAAAGAGCTTTTCCAAAGAGTGCTTTCACATACCTGCAATTTGAGCTGGGAGTTGCCATCTCTCTCCACTGACTACAGTGAAAACTTTGGGACCAAAGCCCTTCCCAGAACTTAGTGCGATGACAAATCCTTTCTCCACCCTTCGTCACTTGGAGTTGAAAAATAAGTGGTACTCCACTTGCCTGATTTGACTTCTGAGGCTCATGAAGGGCAAAAATTTCCCAGAATGAGTGAAAATTAGAAGGAATTAAAAAAAAAAAAAGCAGTTAAAATCCCAAATGGGTTTACATTATGCTTTGCCGTTCAAACTCTCATGGGTGAATTCAGTGCATTGCCATCTGTATGCAGCTGCTTGCAGGCATAGAGCAACCACTAGCCTCTTAGTGTCTAAGTAAAAGATAAAGTCCCACAAAGCTGAGCAGGCTGTCACACTTTGAGATATATCTGTTGCCCAGCTGGAGCTGGACTTTGTTTGATAACTTAGGATGAAGCCTGAAACAAATGAGACATTTTTTTGAGGGAAGAACAAAGAAATTGTCCTTGATTTATGCTTAATATTTGCTCTGCCTCTTCTCTGTTTTCCTAAACCACTTTCCTCTAAAAACAGGAAAATAAAAGTAAGGCCAACCACTATACAGAACAGAAACACCATGTTTCTGGCACATTTCAGAAGAAAGGAAAAACCTCTTAAAAAATATAACAAACATTTAAAACACGATAGCTAGCTAACTTAGCTATTGCTATTTTTGGGGAGAGTCCTAGCCTGACACCTTTAAGAATGTTGAAATCACAGAGCTTCCAAATACCTTCCAAAGTAACTTTTTTGGCACAGAGAAGGATTAGAAAAGGGAACACAGGACAGAAGGAACAAAAGAGGGTTCATCTCTGTGGAAGGGAGTCAATGACTACTGATCACAAACCAAGTGAAGCTGAAATGCTGGCTGAGAAGGGAGCAGCCCACCAGGTGCTAGAAGCATTTCTGCTCTATGATTAAGCTGTTATGTGATGTGCCACATTGCAAAGTGAAAAAAGTGTAAGAAGAGACCAAACAGAATAGATCTCTGAGAGAAGAGAGGTGCCAATGAGGAATAATCTTCAGAAGGGAAGAAGGCTTAGCACCATAGAAGGAATGACCACCTTAATGGCTTAAAAACCAAACAGCCCTCCTTCCCAAATGAGCCTCGTGGAGTAACTACCTTGCATTCATTTGCAGGGTCGTGTGGGAGGGGAGACAGTTCTACTTCCTTGGGAAGTTAAAAAGAACCAACCAACCAAACACACAGATCTGAAAAAGGTATACAGTTTTCCTATCAGTAAGTGAAAAAAAAAAATTTTGAATAAATTGGAGACTACTTCTATGTTTAAGAAGAAAAATTTTGCTTTATCACTCCATATTCTTACTATCCTTCTAGGGAAACTGAAATGAAGACTGTTTCTCAAGATATCTGTGTTACTGATCCAGAAAAGAGGAGGCTGTGCGGGTGCAGGAGTTCACTTTATGCAAAGGTCAGGCTAGTTAAACAACCTCATTGGGTTCAGCAGAAATAAAACACCAGAAGCAGGAATTTGTCACTTTCACTTTCCAGCCACCATCTTGGATTTCCTTCTGCGAAGCAAAATCCTGCCTGTAGATGTTTCCAAATCTCTTCTTGTTTTACATTAGAGATGAGGCAATGTGGTCCTAGTTTCTGTTTTTTTGCTATTGCAGGATGAAGCCTTGGTTTAATCAAAGGCTGTGGTTTACTTCTTGGAGGAATTCTTTTTGAAGTCCTAATTTATGCTCCTGTGAATACTGCCAGTTTTGTAAGATCTAGTGTGAGATTTTTCTAAAGGGCCAAAATGTCAGACTCCTAGAGCTGTGAATTCCCTCCGATTTGACTCAAGAGTTCCCCCGAAACCTGGATTTCTGGGATTGTAGACCATATGCTCTACCTAAAGATGTACTTTCCACAGGCACCATGGACATGCCGACGTGGTGGAGTCTGTGTTACTGCGTGGGAGCAATGCTGCAGTGGGCTGGGAGACAAGGATTATTAGTCAGGGAACAGCATCCTGCTGGAGACAAGTCTGGTTAACTGGGAGGTAGAATCCTGCTCTCAGGACGAAAGTCATCATCTCTTTCTGGATCGACATTGTGAAGGAGGTGTACTGGCATTCACAGAACTAATGCAAACACCTCTTTTCCAAGAGTGGTGCTTTAATAGACACATATTCTTTGGTGCTTTGGCAATGCTCCCCACTTCCTTGACCTCTTTCCCACTAACTGCTGCCGTCTGCTGCTTGAGGTATTAGTGGTGCTGGCTTAGGTCCTGAGCTTAACCCACTGTGAGGGTCTTGAAAGTTGTGAATAGGTCATATTTCCACACCACTTAGGTTACCTGGCTGTAGGATGTAGGCTCAGCAGCTCCTTCTAAGACTGAAAGCTTTTCAAGTTTTGTGCTAAGAAGTAGGGATTTCCTTTTCAGAGAAGGAAATACAAGATGGTGGCATCTAAATGTGGTGAATGGAGCAAATAAGGGGAAAAATTAGTTTGAAGACATGATAGGAGGAATTTAATCTAAATAACAACTCACAGTCTGTATCATAACAAGTCTCAGATCCTGGAACTACTTCTGTCTGTGTTTTATAATGTATGTAAGACATGCCCTTATTGCACTGTAACACCTGCCATATTGTAAGTTATTTCTGACTTCTTATGCGCTTTTTGGCAACCATGAAGTTTACTTTAAAAGTTACTGCATGTGCAAGTTCAGCAGCTTTTCTGCAAGATTTACTTTACTGGCACATGTTAAGGAGTGAAGAAGGCATGCACTCAAGGGCAGGTTCAGAGTCTCCTCCCAGAATGAAGTAAATCAGGGATTGCTCTCTTTTGAGCATCCTAGTAGTTCCTTAGTCAAAGAGGTGTCTGTTCTTCACCACCAAAAGATCGGTAGAATCAGAAACATATGGGCTGTTATTTTCTTTGCATCAATCTGGTCCAGCACTCATGTAAGTGGATGGGAATATCGCTTTTGTCTTCATAAGGGTTTGGATCAGGCTGTTAAAGGGTAAAAGACTTTATTCTCCATATTATAATAAATTTTAATTCATGTAAGTCTATTTCCAAGATGTCACTTGTGAACATATTTAACTCACAGAATCCATACAATCACTAAATTTATATCTGATTCTACAGTGGTTCCTTAGGCTAGCTATTAAATTTAAAGATGAATGGGTTTACTTTGGATAGTTTTCTTCTTCTGCCATGCAATATATGCTTACTAGATTTGCAAAAAGTTTCTCATTCATATTCATGTTTATTTTAATATAATTTTCCATTTCTAGGAAAGAAATATTGCACGCTTTTTTAATTGTCCATATGTACTGATTCATTATACATTTTAGATGGAGTTTTTTTGTCAGGCCTATATTTTCTCCAAGTGAGGGCCTCTGTTTTTCAGACATATTGGCAACTTTGGTCTAATAATCCCTACTTGATTCTTTGAGATAGCCTTCACAGTTTCATTCACGTTTCAGTATTGTGTCAGGTTCCTGAATCTATACAAGAATGTCAAAATGAAGAAGCATCCTTAAGTCTTCAAGCAAGGCCAAAACTAGATACCTGGAGTCAAGTATGTCAGGTGAAGGCTTTGTGATACCTCTCAGAAACACATCCCAGCACCAACCACTTGCCACTCAAGGGCTTCATATGCCAAAGGTGGCTTCTGTTGACTATTTGCAACACTATTTACAATGGTATCTTTCAAACCCTGTGGATACCCACAGATTTTATCTTTAAATCCCAGATATTCTTAAGTGTTATGCTGAGAGGTACTAGTCCTTCATGTGAGTGTGGACCAGAAATGGCAGAAGTATCTCTGCAATCTACTATCAATTTGGCTTGAAGGAAACCATGATGGTAGAAGCAACAGTAAGTTCCCAAACACAAATTATATTTGGTATCTATCACCAAAAATGCCCATAGGTTATGTTTATATTAATCTTTTGGAAAATGAACTGAGACATTCTGCTCTTTTCACAACGGTACTAAGAATTTCTGGTCAGAGATGCGAGGTGAATTCAGATTGCTGATAGATGTGAAGAGTTTCAAAGATCTTGCTGAAACCAGAGTTATTTTTTCTGTTATATCAATTTACTTTTTTTTCTCTTTAAAAATTGCTCTAAAGGACAAAATAACACTTTCAGCTTTACTCTCAAATCATAAACATCTAGTGCAGAT